CCAACTCCTCTGGCCAATGATTTCCCCCTTTGCCGATTTCTACTATTTATTCAGCCTGCAAAGGAGTCTGGTAGAGACTATAGTGGACCTACCCGTGGCTCTCACCGCAGTTTGGTAGACTTTGTACCTACCAAATGTAAACAATCGTGTTTTCAGTGTATCTGTATCTGTATCTGTATCTGTATAGCCGGTATAACCGCCTTTCGGCGTAACACACCAGCTTCGCAGGCACGCGGCGCGGCGGCAGCTGGCTATATTACACCGATCGACTTGTTACACCTAACCCTTGAACTTCTAGCTCTAGACATTGTTTAAAGCTATCTATTGACAGTGCCCCTACTGTACTTGGTGACAGTGAGTTCCACTCTGCGATAGTTCTAGGAAAGAATGAATTCTTGAACACCTCAATCCTTGGTTGATAACTCTGGTACTTGAATGCGTGGCTATTTCTTGTTCTCTTCTGAGCTGGTATTAGGTACTTAGTAGTTGGGACATCCACCAGTTTATTAGTCATTTTGTACATCATGCATAGTCTAGACATCTTTCTTCTGTCTTCAAGTGAGGTCCACTGTAGGTTTCTTTTCATTTCCGTGACACTAGCACCTCTTACATAGTTGTTCATACAGAATCTTGCAGCTTGATTCTGTACCCTTTCCAATTTGTCTTTGTCTTTCTTTGTATATGGATCCCATACTGTCGCAGCGTATTCTAGGTTCGGTCTTACAAGTGACGTGTATGCAAGTGATTTTACTCTCGTTGGACATGCCCACAGATTACGTTTAATCACTCCCAATGTCTGTTTCGCCTTAGTTGTGATATTATTAACATGTGCACCCCACTTCAGTCCGCTTGTCAGCGTGACGCCCAGATACGGATGGAGTTTTGTGGTTGCTAAAGCCTGACCACAAAACTGGTAGCTAGTTGCATGTGGTGTTCGTTTGTTTGTTATGTGCAATAATGTAGCATTTTTTCGGGGATTAAACTGCATGAGCCATTTGCTTTGCCATTCTTCCAGGGTGTTCAGGTCTTTTTGGAGAAGTTTTGAGTCGGTCTGTGTAGAAAGCTCTACATACA